CTGCGCCGCCTCCCGCTCCCGGAGGGCCTGAGCTGAGAGAGGCAGACCGCGCGTGGGCCTCGCGAGTCAGACGCCGGCAGACCGACAACAAAGAAAGGGCCCCGGAAGGAGCTGGACTGCCCCCGGACCGGGGGGTGGGGAGGGGAGCACATTGTTCCGCAGGGCGGGGGCTCTTAAAGGGTCCAGGCAGCCCCCCTCCCCCTGCCCAGCTTGGCCGTCCTAGATCGGGAACAAAGGAGTCAACGTTTTGCTTTGCGGCCGAAGGTGAGTAGGGGCCAATCCCCAACTCCCTATTTCCGCATCCCTGGAACTCCTGCCCCCTCCCCTGGGGCTGGGGTCTGTGATCTAGCTGGCTCTGCAGGGGTTAATCACGGCGGTCCAGAGGGGGATGGCGAGCCCTCTAGAATCAGGGAGGATTTCCACCACTACCACCACCACCCCCTCCTGCAGCCTCCGATAGCCAGGTCGAGTCTCCCTTCTCCGGAGGCTGAGTGCTGCGGTTGGAGAGGAAGGAGCCGCCCCCTCCCCCTGCCACCGCCACTTCCTTTGTTGTTGCTTTTGTCTCACGCCGAGCACATGGTCCGGGATCCTCGGCTCTTAAAGTCACAGCGCTCTGGCCCCAACGCCGCAGTCTGGCCTCCCGCCCCCCACGTCCTTCTGAGCGCGGCACAAAGGAGTGAGAGGAGGACGTGGGGGACCCCTCTGTGGGCGGGTGTCTGCACCTCGGACCCCACCATCCTCAGGGAGGGGAGGCTGAGGAAGCTCCCCAAAGCCCCGCAACCTGCATCTGGTCCGCGTTGAGGAGGGGCGGGCCCCCCAGAACACTGTTTTCCACCCCCGCTAATGTGACCACCTGGTTTCTTGCGCCTTGCTTCTTCTGGCTTTATTTGGGCATTCTAAGAAGGGGAGAGTTCCACCCCCATTTCACAGCTGTGACAACTGAGGCTCACAGAAGCAGAGAGATTTCCTTGATCAAGGTCATCTAGGGAACCTGGGCTAGCCAAGGACTCCTAGCTCCGAGCCTGATGGTCCTGCCCTCAGCTACCTCCAGGCAGCACAGGTTGGAGAGCTCTCCTTGTCCACTTGGCTGTGGTGACCTAGCCTACCCCTTGGGGTGGGGGCTGCTTTTCTCATCCTGCCTGAATATATTCATGCTCTCAGGGGCTGACTTTGCTTAACAGCTAAACAGCCCCTATTCAGGCAAACATCCCCCAGGGGCAAATGACTTGGCAGAGGCTCCCTAGACTAGGACTGGGATAGCCGCTTGGGGCCCTGGAAGCAGGGATTTGGCTGCCTCCTGGGGGAAGGGGTGGATACGAAGTGTGGTGCCTCCTTCCAGGTAAGATTGGATTTAGGGATGGGACCCTCAAGACCTATTTATCCAGACCTTAAGAGAGCACAGCACAGGACTATGGAAAAGCAGAGAAATTGAGGATGGTTACCTGGCCACCCTTGCTGTTTGACCTTGAGCAAGTGTCTAGCTCCATCTCTGGGCCTCTTTTGCTTCACCACAATAGGGTTAGTCATGGGTGCCTGAAACAGGAAACTCTTGAGATCCCCTTTAGGGACTGGAATTGAGATTTGGGATTAGGTGGTTATTCGGGTTACTGATGCTAATGAGTCAGGAGTTGGGGGAATCTGGGTCTAGGGGGCCAGCCGGGCAAGACTAGTTCTGTTTCTTTGGCTTTGTGAGCTCTAGAGTAAGTTACTTCCTTTCTCTGGGTCTCAGTTTCCTCAACTGTGAAGTGGGTGTGTCCTCTTTGTGCAACCTGTGTTCTTAGTAGGACTTCAAGAACCAGGGACCCCTCACATGCCAGCTGGGGTTTTTTCCCCCTAAAGAGGCACATTTCCCAGCTAACGCTTGGAGAGCTTGAAGTGGCATCTGATTTCTGTTTGTGTGCTAGAGTGGAGGTCAGCCTCTCTTAATTTCTGATAGTGATCATTCACACCTGAGCTCTGCAGATCACCTCTGCCTTTGAGCAGTCCTTGCCAGTCCACTGGGAGGTGGTTATTGGGCTATTCCCATTTTACAGGTGAAGGAGCTGAGGCTCAGAGAGGGGAAGCGACGTGTCCAAGACTCTGGCCAGAAGTCTTACTCTGGTACCGTGTAAGAATGCAAGGGTTGACACTTGCACCTTTGGTACCACAATCTACAGCTGGAGGCCCTTCTGTCTTTTGGTCTGGTTTCGCACTCCTTGCCACTTACCTTTCCTAAGGAATGGGTATTTTTGAAGGGGCTGGCCACAGAGAAGATTCCCATGTGCCCGGGCTGCTGTGGCACCCACACCCCCCAGACTTCAGCAAGGCAGCCTGACACAAGAGGAACCACTGAAGCCACTGCCTAGACCGTGTCCCAGTGTACTCACAACTCTGGCTGACAGGCCTTGGACCTCACCTCTCAGAGCCTCAGTGTCCTTACTTATGAGGGTTGCTGTGAGGACTCAAGATGACACATGAGAAGTGTCATAGTTATTACTGTTAATATTCCTCATCAGCAGGGCTGTGGGCTCCCAAGATCTCTGAGGTTCCCAAACCTGGCCGTGTTGTAGAAACCGCTGGTGATTTTGGTAGAAAATATAGGTGTCCTTGTTCCCCAACCCTCCAAAGATCTAGAATGTCTGGAGTAGCCTAGGAGTTTATTGTTTCAGATATTTGGGGAGTTTACTCTGAGTCTCTCTTGGCCTTTGTTTGCTAGGCTGGATTGTCAGCAAGAATCAGGAAGGCTGCGTAAGGATGTGCACTTGGCCCACAGGGTGCAGTTACAAACCTCGTTACCTATGGTGGGCTGGTAGGGAATGGGCCTTGCGTGGTCTAGAGGGAAAGCTCATGATCTGAGTGAGGGGGCCAACCAGAAATGAGGGCCTAATAGGACCAGATTTTCTGCCTTTTTTTTTCCTTTCAGGGAAGGCCAGGTTTTTATATAATCTCCCAATTAAAAAAAAATTTTTTTTACTGTTTATTTTTGAGGGATGGGGAGGGGCAGAGAAAGAGGGAGACACAGAATCCAAAGCAGGCTGTAGGCTCTGACCTGTCAGCACAGAGCCCAACGTGGGGTTCAAACTCACCAACTGCGAGATCATGACCTGAACTCAAGTCGGATGCCTACCCGACTGAGCCACCCAGGCGCCCCCTAAGTTGTTGCAATTTTAAGTGCTACAAAATGAAACTTGAAACAAGCTTATGAATCTCTTTGAAATGAAATCAGTCAGTAGTAATACAGAACACTTTCTTTTTTTAAAGATTTTGAGTTTTATTTATTTTTGAAAGAAAGGAAAAAAGAGCACGCATGTGTGTGAGCAGGGGAAGGGCAGAGAGGAAGGGTAGCTTTATATGGGGCTTGTACTTACAAACTGTGAGATCATGACCTGAACCGAAGTTGGAGGCTTAACCGACTGAACCACCCAGGCGCCCCTGTAATCTCCCAATTTTTAATCATCAGGTAGGGATGATCATCAGGTAGCAGTGGCCTTCATTCACTGCTGCCGGACCATGGCCTTGGACCTGTGTAATTGGTTTTCTAGTGTACGTTTACCAGATCAGTGCTGCACACAAGCTGGTGCCTTTCTGCCAAGTGCCAGAGCTCAAGTTAGATGGGAGAAGTGTGAATTCCAGCTCTTACACTTCCTGGCTGTGGCCTTGGCCAGGCGCTGCCCTTGCAAATGGAAAGCTTCCCCTGCAGGCTGGTTTTTTGGATTTAGGGCCCAGGCTTATAAAGCTTAGCACAGAGGAAATGTTCTTGCCACTGTTGGCAGGAAGGAGCTAAGTGTTGAGGGTAAGTGGTACACTGGTTCTCTAGCTGTGTCAACAGGGAGGCAGCACCAAAAGCTGGGTATCGGGATGTTTAGGAGTTTTGTCAGATGGAGAAGGGGTGGTTAGAGGGGGCCTCCCTGTGGCAGGAACAGCAAAGGGCTGGTCCTAGTCCTATTTGATGCACCTTCTGACTTTGCAGGACCTGATAGGTTCTAGCATTCTCTCTGCCAGGGCCTCATCCCAATGTCTGGAGTGAATAAATGGTGGCCCCCCAGCTTATCCCACTTGGATCCCCAGCTCCTACCTGAGAGGAGACCTGCCCCACCCCATTCCCACCCAACTTCCTCCTTTAGGTTCTCAGTTCCCCTTTTTTCTCAGCAAGCCCCACCTCCACTTGAGGGTTGTGTTGGGCCCCTAGAGCAAGGCCTTGGCTGTATGCCAGACCCACCCATCTACCACTGGCCACTTCCTTCATCACCTCCTGTGAAGCCCTTGGCCTGGACCACTCGCTGCTGGCAGCAGGGTGCAGTGCGAGGCTTGGGGCCAGCACACCTCCCAGCTTTGACACTTGGACAAATCTCTTCCTCTCTTTGAGCCTCAGTTTTCTCTCTCGTGAAATAGAGCTGACAGTGCCTTCCTTGAAGAGTAAATAAAGTCACATGTGGGTAGACACTGCAGGAGCTGGTTATGGAAAGAAAGAAAACTAACTTGAATTTGGAGCCCCTGAGGTCAGGAACCAGGTCAGAACCTCTTCCCTGGCAATAATGGAAGGAGAAGCCTGATTCAAATCAACCCTGAGCCACCCCTCTAGAAAGGAGGAAGCTGGAGTGCCCTCCCAGGAACCCCAGCTTCCTGGAGGTTGAAGTTGTAGACCCCCCCCACAACAGGACAGGGTGCCCTGGGAACCCCACCCAGAGGGAAGCATGCTGGCCAGCCCTCTGAACTCACCACAACCCTGAAGGAGAACTGGACCCCATTTTATAGAGCAGGAAACTGAGGCCTGGGCTCCCTGTCCCTGATCTGTCATCCCCGAACCCCAGTGCCAAGAAGAGGGCTAGACCCAGAGTACACACTAGATGTGTACCACAGGGTGTGATGGCCCCTGGAATTGGACTCCTGAGATTTGATTCTGTCTCTGCAGTCCCTAATGGGGCAAGTGACTGGACTTCTTTGTGCCTCAGTTTGTTTATCTGTTTGCCTCCTAGGGTTGTGAGCCCAGGCCCAGCCCCTCCATCCCTGTGCCACCCCTGATGCGACCATGGGCTCTGGCAGTGACTAGGTGGCCACCCTCTGCCCCTGTGGGTCAGCGGCAATTCTCTGTAGGACCCAGCAGTGCCCCGGGCCAGCTCCGGGGAAGGTAGGAAGGAACCTCCTAGTCCTGCAGAGCCTAGAGCTCCCTGGTGCTGGGGCTGTCAGCTTGGGTTGGGGAATAGGAGCTGGGAGAGTGGGGCATAGGGCCCTGAGCTGTCTTCCTTCCCCAGTGGGTAGTGACCTTGGCTTCTCTCCATGCTCTCTGAATGAGTGGCTCCCCTCAGTCCTACTGGGGCCTCCTCTCTGTGGTGCAGCCCCGGCCGCGAGGGCCCCCTGGCCAGCCTGCCTGCCCAGGATGAGCGCTTACCCTCCCAGCAGCCACCGTCCCGACCACCACACCTCCCTGTAGAGGAGCACCGAGCCTCGGCTCCTGCCGGCAGGAGCCCCCGAATGCTGCATCCAGCCTCTCAACAGGGCCCGTTCATGGTTGATCTCCACGAGCAGGTAGGCAGAACACCAGTCACCTGTTTCCCCACCCTGCTGGCCCCTCCCCTGTCTGAGGACCAGAGGTAGCAGAGCCGTGATTGCACTTTGCTAAACTCATTGCATGTTCAGTGATGCATTATTAGTCTTGTTTTACAGGCTGGTAAATTGAGGCCCAGAGAAGGGAAGGGCCTTCTTTGGGACTACACAGTGGATGAGTGTTTGAGCTGGAAGCCCCTCCCAGGTGTCCCAGAGGGTTCTCTCTGACATTTAGGGCTTGAGGCAGGGGGATGGCCAGGTCTGTACCTCGGTAGGCCCCAGCTAGAGCAGGGAAGGGAGCTGGCCCAGCAGGGCTTTCTCATTTAGGGGTAGCAGTATGGGCAGGATCCCCCCTACAGCTCTTGGGTTTCTCTCCACCGACAGGTGCACCAGGGACCCATCCCTCTGTCCTACACAGTCACCACAGTGACGACCCAAGGCTTCCCCTTGCCTACAGGCCAACACATCCCTGGCTGCAGTGCCCAGCAGCTCCCAGCATGCTCCGTGATGTTCAGCGGGCAGCACTACCCCCTCTGCTGCCTCCCACCCCCGGTGAGTGAGTGCCTCCACCTCCTACCCCTCCCCCCCCACACCTGAAAGCCCCAGACACAGACCAGCAGTAGAAGCAAGCTGAGCTTATGACACCCATTGAGGCTGTCAGAGCACCTACCCAGTTCCGGGCCCCAACCCTGTCCAGAAAAGTGTGTGTGTGCTCACATACAGTTAGAGAGCACCTGGGGGTTCAGGAACCTTCCTGCACCCCAGTGCATGCCTTTAGGTATGGAATTGTTAACTAACGGTCTTAAGAGTGTAGCATCCTGGGGGCGCCTGGGTGGCTTAGTCGGTTGGGCGTCCGACTTTCGCTCAGGTCATGATCTCGCGGTTCGTGGGTTCGAGCCCTGCGTCGGGCTCTGTGCTGACTGCCAGCTCAGAGCCTGGAGCCTGTTGCAGTCTGTGACTCCCTCTCTCTCTGACCCTCCCCTGCTCGCGCTGTCTGTCTCTCCTAGAAATAAATAAAAAATATTTAAAAAAAAAAAAAAAAAAAAAAGAGTGTAGCATCCTGCCTAAGTGGCCTCTGGCAGGGATGGGATGGTCCATAGGGCTTCTGTGGGGACCTCTCAATGAATGGAATGGCTCCTGGTTCTCAGCGCAAGCATAGCCCCAACCCAGAGCCTAGAAGAACCTTCTACAGCCCCCCTCCCTTTCTTGACAGCTGATCCAGGCATGTACCATGCAGCAGCTCCCTGTGCCCTATCAGGCCTACCCCCACCTCATCTCCAGTGACCACTACATCCTGCACCCCCCACCACCAGCCCCACACCCTCAGCCTGCCCACATGGCACCTCTTGGGCAGTTTGTATCGCTGCAGGCCCAGCATCCGCGTATGGTGAGTCTGGGCAATGGGTTTGATGCCACAGGGGATGGCATGGGGGGTGGGGCTTCCCTTGTTACTCACTCTGGCTGACCCACCCCTGCCTCTTCCAGCCCCTGCAGCGGCTTGACAATGATGTGGACCTGCGGGGGGACCAGCATCCCCTGGGGAGCTTCACCTACTCCGCCTCTGCCCCAGGCCCAGCCCTGTCCCCATCCATGCCCCTGCACTACCTGCCCCATGATCCACTGCACCAGGAGCTATCCTTTGGTGTGGTAAGTACCACCTCCACTGAGACTCTAGGGTGATCAGGAGACAGGCCCACCGGGCTGACCTGTACCTGGCACCCCTCTCACAGCCATATTCCCACATGATGCCACGGAGACTGAGCACCCAGAGATATCGCCTACAACAGCCGCTGCCCCCGCCACCCCCACCGCCGCCCCCGCCACCGTATTACCCCAGCTTCCTGCCCTACTTCCTGTAAGTACCAGCACATCTGCTCCAGAGCCATGGTGCTCTGGTCTCCTGGGGCCTCCAGTTGTTGGATCCAAACATAGCCCCATGAGGTACCAAGGGCCTCTACAGCCATCTGGCATTCCCACCAAACCACACATACTCTCAGCACTCACCAGCTGGGTTCCTTGCTCTCCTACAATGTCCTGGGACAAACACTGGAGTCCTGGTGTGAATGGTGCAGAGCTCTGGGCTTTGTTTCATGGAGGGAGTCGGGAGCAGCTCTGCACCCCCTACACCTACTGACCTTGACCCTGGGTCCCCCACACCTGTCTCCCCTAGCTCGATGCTGCCAATGTCACCAACAGCAATGGGGCCCACCATCAGCCTGGATCTGGACGTGGATGATGTGGAGATGGAGAACTATGAGGTCCCGTGGAGCACATTCCTGGGAGGTAGGAGTTTGGGGGACCTCCGGCCTTGAGCACTAATGACCCTACCCTCCTCTCTGTATCCAGGCCCTCCTGAACTTGGCAGAGCGGCTAGGAGATGCCAAGCCCCGAGGCCTCACCAAAGCGGACATCGAGCAGCTGCCATCGTACCGCTTTAACCCAGACAGCCATCAGTCAGAGCAGACACTGTGAGTACTGTGCCCATCTCCCTCTGGGGGACCCCTTCCTCCAGGGGATCTTGTGCTATGTAGTGAGCCTCCCTCTGCTATTACTGTGGAGGTAACACTCTGTGCCCACCTTCCAGATGTGTCGTCTGCTTCAGTGACTTCGAGGCGCGGCAGCTGCTCCGAGTCCTCCCCTGCAACCATGAGTTCCACACCAAGTGTGTCGACAAGTGGTTAAAGGTAACGCAGCCCAGGCTGGATCCTGGGTATTCCTCACGTGGTGGGGGAGGTGGGTGGGCCTTAGAGGGCTCTCCCTTTATCCTTGTCATCATCCAGAAGTTCAGGCTCTGTTCAGGGGTCAAGTCCTAGAAGTAGAATAGACCTAGCTGAGGTGAGTAGGGGACAGGCAAGAGTAGAGCCTGATGTGTGGCTGCTCCCCCAGGCCAACCGGACGTGTCCCATTTGCCGGGCCGACGCCTCCGAGGTGCCCAGGGAGGCTGAGTGAGGCCCACAGCCGCCCAGGATAACCCTGCCCGAAGCTCTGGAAGCTCGGGCTGGGGGGACCTGAGGAGGACGGGGAGGGAGTGGCCCAGGCCTGCCCCGTCATTCCCGCCTGCATCTCCAGAGCTGGTGCCAGGGTCAGCCCCGAGAGAAGCCCCTGCAATAAGCCCCTGCATTTGCCAAGCTCCAAAGACTCTTGCCCCAATCTGCCTGCCAGTCCACCCACCACGGAGCTGCCTGAGTGTCCCTAACTCAGTCTCCCTCCTGTTTGCTCTCCAGTCCGTCTCCTTTCCTGCCAGCCCTGGGAGCCAGGAGTCCATCCCTGCCCCCAGGGTAGGCAGAGGGGGCTCCATTCCAGGCTGCCTGGTCTCTTGCACTGAAATGGTGTGCCATCTGACTGGGTGGCACTGACAGGCGTGTGGACAGATGGTGGCATGAGGCCATTTCCTGAGCCCCAGGCCTGGGTCCTCCTGCCTTGACCCCAGACAGATTCAGGTAGCCAGCCCCACGCAGTCTGCTGTGAGGGGTGGGTCTGGCTCCTTCAAGTACCGTCACCCCCAGGCTGGAGGGCATCAGAGCCAGCCTCCTGACCAGATGGGAGACAGGCCCTGAGCTGAGGTGGCACGTATCCTGATGGGGCCTGGGCCACGCAGGGGAGAGTGACCTATGTTTCCGGTGGCCACTCTCCCTGGCAGTGATGGGGGCCAGACCCTGCCCAGTCTCCCCTCTCTGTTGTTTTGCATGAACGTGAGGAGCAGCAGTTTTTGTTTATTCATTTGGCCCAAAACTGCGTGTAGGATTTGGGGGTGTGGACTTTTAAACAATTTGTTTTCTTTTGATTTAATGGGGGGATATAGGGACCAACCAGGACCAAGTGCCCAGGGGGCCAGGAATGGTCTGGTGGTGCTGCCTGGTCTGCATGCATGTGTGCGGCTGGGGCAGGGCTGGGTGGCCGGCGGTCATGGGTGGGGTTGGGGGGTGGTCTGTGCTCAGCTGATAACTGCCATGCACTGTACTGCACACGTCCCCAGAGCCTACCGGGACCGTACGCTTTTCAGGGCATTTCTCCCTCCAGCCAGGGCCTGTCTCCCACCTGACTGGGCAGGTCTCCTCCAAGGAAGTCCCAGGAGGACAGGGACCAGGGAGGGCGTGGATCCCACCTCCAGGGGCCCCCCTCCCAGCCTGAGCCCTGCCCTCCAAGGTCTGGAGGAGGCCCCCTGTAGGGTCTGGCTGAGCTCCCACCTTCTCCCTCCCTGGTTCCGTTCCTTTCCTGTCCTACCCCCAGCTGGGGTTGCTGCCCCCCGAACGAACCGCGTGTGGGGCCGGCACATCCTAGCAGGCAGCCCCTGGCGCCTGCTGCCTCAGGGATGCTCCAACCACCCTCGTTCTCCCCGCAGCGGCCCTGGCTCCCTGCCTCCCCTCAGCCTGCCATGGGGCCCCATCAGCCTGGCCCCACCCCCATGGAGAACCCAAAGTCTTACTGTATATAACTCCAGGTGACGTTTCTATATTTATAGCAGTGTTGAAACCCCACGTATTTTACACAGAGAACCACCTTCTCCAAACCCCCCTCCCTTTCCTACCCCAACAAAAGGTTTTCAGAATCCTTAAGGTTCCTGGGGCAGGCGGAAACAGGCTCACGGATTGTGTGTCGGCTGCAGCAGTGATTCCAACGAGCAGCTAATGGGGGGGAGGGGGACACAACATTTAAAAAAAATCATTAAAAAAAGATTTATAAACAATTATTTAGGATGTTTGTGATTTGCCGACCTTGCTATAGATGCCATGTTACCAATGATTTCCTGTGGTGGGGGCTTGTCATTGTTTACTCTTTTATTTACCAACTTCTGGCCTAGGCATGACAGTGGGCACCATCCCCCAGCCCTGGCTGGGCCCAGCACCTGTGTTCTGTGTTAGAAAGGTTTTATATATATATATATATATATATATATATGCATAATTTTATATATATATATATATATAATTACATATATATAAAAATATATGTAATTGGGGGGGCCCTGTTCCTTGCACATTTTACAGTTACCTCATTTTTCCCATGTATGTATTTGAGAAAATGCTAATATATAGAGAAAAAAATGGTTCTTAAAGCTTAAATATGTGGTTTTTTCCATTCCATTGGATTCACATTGGTTTGTAGCATTTAACATAACTAGTATGTTGTATTATATATATGTGTATACTGATTGAAATTTTTAACAGATTTGTACTTTTTTTAAAATGAAAGTTGCTAGTTCTGCTTGACCAAGTAGTGCAATCATTATTTTTTTTAATATTGTTGCTGATTTCAGAGGGATATTCACTAATAAATGTATGATGTATATCAAGTATTGCTCAAGCTGCCTTTGGTTACCTGTGTTCTTTTGATGGGAAGCGGGGATAATGATGTCAGTGTGAGAGTGGGTAGGGGACAGGGATAAGGTGGGCAGAAAAGACTGTTCTATGCTGTGGCACCTTGGTACCTCCTGATCAAGAAGGTCTGCCAAGCCAGGTTAGTGATGATATTGTGGGCCATCTGCTTCACACTCAAATTAGGCAGGCTCTGTTGACAAGTGGCAGGATTCCATCTAACTGGTTTAAGGAAAGTGTCACTTGTTGGTCGTTTTTTTAAATTCTGGAGGTGGGTTCTGCCTCAAGCGTGACTGAATCGGGCTCAGGCACAGTATTAGGAACCATGGCCTCCCTTCATTTTACAGCTCTGTTTTGCAGGAGCTGTTTTTGTGTAGTAGTTCTTGGTAGCTCTAGCTCAGTTTCTTCTAGTTTAGCATAATTCCATGGAAAAACCATTTTCCCTGGGAATTCTAGTGGGATTTCTAGGATGGAGGCATTAGACCCAGCTTGGATTCTGAGTGCATCCTGAGCTATTCACTACCATATCCGGGAGCTACAACAGCATGATTGGCCTGGCTTGCATTATATACCCTCCCACCCACAGGCCCTACTGGAACAAGGGGCCTGAGAACCACCCAAAGCACCAGGTTGGTAATGCAGTTACATTCCTCATACCTGTGATAGAGTGTGGTGCTGCAAGGTATCAGCTGATTTGTTAGCATGTCCAAGCAATGTGGTCAGGAGCAGCAGTGGGCTGGAGTCAGGAGACCCAGGACCTAGTATCTGTGATGCCACTATCTGTAGCCTTGGTCAGGTCACTTTCCTTTCAGCCTCTGCAAAATAAGGGACAGTCAGTTGAGAAATGTGCTATGGGAACGTAAGGGGGGTTAAGCAGGGCTCTGTGGTTAAGTCTGGGAAATTACACAGAAAAGGTAACAGGAGCCTATATTCCAGGGCTTCTGTGAGCCTTGGCTACGGTGATGTGTTACAAGCTTCTAGGAGTAGATACTATGAACAGCACTTCCTACATTTAGCTTGTCTGGCCATGGGTAATGTTCAAGTTGCATTCTCTGGGGTACACTAGGAATTGGTAGACTAGACCAGTGATAGCAACTAAGTTCCCAGGGCCCTAGTCTGAAGTCTAGGGAAGTCTCTAAACTTTTTTCAGTATTTCAGAAAACCTACCAGGGGGGACATGATCTTATCAGTTGATCCAAAAAAAAACCACAAAAAAACAAAAACAAAAAACCCCAAAATTCAACACTTACTCATGATAAAAAAAACTCTCACCAAGCTAGAAATAGAGGGTAACTTCTACAATGGGATAAATTGCATCTACAAAAAACCCAACAGCTAACATCATATATAATAGTGTGAAAGACTAGGTGCATCCTCCTTGAGGTCAGGACAAGGCAAGGTTATCCACTCTCACCACTCATATTTATCATACTGAAAGCCCTAGCCAGCACAAAAAGATACGGCAAGAAAACAGAAATAATATTAAGTCTACAGATTGAAAAGAAAATTGTCCCTATTTGGAGATTTGATAACCTATAAATTACCAAGCTCCTATTTGAAAATCCTAAGGAATCTACAAAAACCTTCTGAACTAAAGGAGTTCAAGTCGTAGGTTACAAGATGAATATACAAAAATTGTATTCTACATAGTAGCAACAGATACATGAAACAAAAATTTGAAACAAAAGTACTATATAATCACTCGAGATATGAAATATACACATCTAACAAAACATTGTGAGATTTATATGTTGAAAATTATAAAACACTGGATGAAAGAAATCAAAGACCTACATAGAGAAACGTCATGTTCTTGGATTAGAAGACTCAGCAATAGGTAAAGATACTATTTCTTCCCATATTGATCTGTGATTTGAATGCAATTCCTATCAAAATTTTGGAAAGTTGGGTTTTTTTTTTTTTTGAGACATTCTTCAACATGTATATGAAAAGGCGAAGAAATAAGTAGCAAAGACAACCTTGAAAAACAAGAATAAAGTGAGAAGAATCACTCTACCTGACTTACTGAAGAGCTGCATTAAAACAATATGGTAGAGGGATAGACAAGTAGATAAATGGAACAAAATAAAGATCCCTGGAACAGACCCAGTACAAGTATGGCCAACTAATTTTTGAGCATTCAATGAAGAATAGTCTTTTCAACAAACAATACTGGAATAGCCGAACAAGGAATAGCCGTACATCCATAAAAACTAAGAATCTCTACTGAAGAGTCACAATACAAAAATGAACTGAAAATGGATCATAGATTTAAAGGTAAAACATAAAGCTAGAAAACTTCTAGAAGACAAGTGAGAATCTTCAGTACGACCTAGGGCTAGGTGAAGAGATCTTAGACATGACACCAAAAGCAATACATAAAAAGAAAAAATGATAAATTGGACTTCACCAGAAGTTAAATGCTTAATTTACAAGTCACATATCTGGAAAATGACTCATGTCAGATATATAAAGAACTCTCAAAACTCAAGACAATCCAATTAGAACATGGGCAAAAGACACAAACACACACATTGAGCAAAGAGGATATTTCATTTGTTCAACACCATAAGCTATTAAGGAAATACAGATTCAACCACAATAAGGTCATTACACACCTGTAAAAACAACAAAAATAATAATAGTGACTATCAAATTCTGGTAAGGAATGCAGGGAAACTAGATTTCTCATACATTGCTGATGGGAATATTAAATAGTAAAGCCCCTCTGGAATACAGTTTGGCAAGTTGTTATTTTTAACATTGATTTTGATACAATCTATCATAAGTAAATAGAGATTACAGAGATACTGCTCACTGCCACAAAGGCATCTGTGAAAAGCCCTGTGCCATTCCACTGATGATCATCTCAGTGAAGTCCCATTTTTTCTCTCAGCCACAGCACACACCATGTTATTCCTGTCCATTAACTGCTTCCACATCCAGATGACCAAATAATTCCTTATCCCCTAAATAAGCTCAAAATGGTTGGGTCAGGCATTCCAGGATCTGCACCTCCTTAAATCGCAGGTACATCATGAGATGAAGAACATTCCAGTGGGTGGCAAATTGGCCACCCTTGAAGAGTTAATGCAGCCTCTGCTTGGCCTCTTTGCTCAGCTTCGCCATGGCAACAGCCTGGCAGTTTCCTATAAAGCTAAACATATACTTACTAAATGACCTAGCACTCCTGGGCATTTATCCCAGAAAAATGAAAACATGTCTACACAAAAATACGTACACAAATGTTCATAGCTGCTTTCTTCATAATATGGGAACAATTTAAATGTCCTTCAGTGAACAAATGGTTAAATTGTGACCCATCCAGATCATGGAATACTACTTAGCAATAAAAGAAAGAAACTAAGGAGGCCTGGCTGGCTCAGTTGGTGGAGCCTGTGACTCTTGATCTCAAGGTCATGAGTTCAAGCCCCACATTGGGCATAGAGCTCACTTAAGAGAAAAAGAAAAGAAACAACTATTGATACATGCAACAACTTGGATGGGTCTCAGGGAATTATGCTGAGTGAAAAAAAGCCAATCACAAAGGTGACATATCTATCCATTTTTATAACATTATCAAAATGACAGAGAGATGGAGACTAGATTAGTGGTTGCCAGGGTTTAGGCATGGTGGAATAAGGGTGTGTGTGTCACTATAAAGGGGTGGCAGGGGTAAGATCTTTGTGGTAATGCAAAAAAGACTGCATCTTGATTATGGTTGGTTACATGAATTTATATAAGTGATAAAACTACACACACACACACAGACAAATAAGTACATGTAAAACTGGTGAAATCTGTGGATTTTACCAATGTCAGTTTTCTGGTTTTATATAAGATGTTATCATTAAGGGAAAGTAAGGGTTAAATAAGACCCTTTTTGTAATAGTTTTACAGCTTTCTATAAATCTATATTATTTCAAAATAAAAAGTAAAAAAAGCCTGTGGGAAATTGGATAAATTATGACATTATGAATCAGATTAAAATCCTATCATTTTTGTACTACACATAGAAAATCCTAAAGACTACCAAAACTACCAAAAGTAATAAAAGAATTAAGTGGCAGGACACAAATTAATACTCAGAAATTGGTAGCATTTCTATACACTGATAATGAAGTAGCAGAAAGAAAAATTATGAAAACGATGTTATTTACCATTGCACCAAAAAGAATAAAATACTTAGAAATCAACTTAGCCAAAGAGGTGAAAGAACCATCTCTGAAAACTATAAAACACTAATGAAAGAAATTGAAGATGACACAAATGGATTGGAAGAATTAATATTGTTAAAGTTTCCATATTACCCAAAGGGATCTATAGATGCAATACAATTCCTATCAAAATACCAAGTTTTCTTTTTTTAAATATTCTTTTTTTTTTTTTAAGAGAGCGAGCGAGTGGTGGAGAGGGGCAGAGGGAGAAAGAATCTTAAGCAGGCTCCATGCTCAGCGTGGAGCCATACATGGGGTTCAATCCCTCAACCCTGGGATCATGACCTGAGCTGTAATCAATAGTCAGATGCTCAACCAACTGAGCCACCCAGGTGCCCCACCAACAGCATTAAAAAAAAAAAAAAAATCTAGAACAAATAATACTAAAATTTGTATGAAATCACAGAAGGCCCTGGATGGCCAAAGCAATCTTGAGAAGGAAGAACAAAGCTGGAGGTATCACAATTCCAGATTTCAAGATATAGTGCAAAGCTGTAGTAATGAAAACAGTATAGTGCTGGCACAAAAATAGACACATAGGTCAATGGAACAGAAGAGACTCCAGAAATAAACCCACAATTATATAGTCAAATAATCTATGACAAAGGAGGAAAGAACATACAATAGGGAAAAGATACTCTCTTTAATAAATGGTGCTGAGAAAACTGGACAGCTACATGCAAAAGAATGAAGTTAGACCACTTTCGAACACCACACAAAAAATAAACTTGAAATGGATTCAAGACCTAAATATGAAACCT